TCGATATATTTCGCACCCGCTCGCGATAAAATTTAGTACGCAATTTAATAGTTTCTACTCGACGAAGCATGTCCCTTTCGCGCCGTTTCGTTCGCCATCCGTTTCGACTTTCATAAAAATTTCATTCACCGCAATCACGCAGAGGAAATCCTATTTGCGGAAACGAAAGCTCCACGCCGCCGATGTTGCCCTCTGAGCGCGACATTGTGATTAATTTCTCAAATCGCCTTGGAACGGCGGAAATCCTCCTCAAGGGAGGACTCCCGGCGGTGGAATTGTCGTCCGTGCGTATATCGGCGAGAATAGAAATGAGTTTACGGAGGCAGGCAGACAAAATCGATATACATCGTGTTAATAATGAAGCAGCAAGGTCTATAACCTTCCGCAAGTGAGTCGGATGAGTCGGAATCGACCTTTCTCGTGGGGGGATATAAAGACACTTGTCTCCCCTTCTCGCTTCGTCCCTTTCTCTCTTTCACCCCCTCGTTGCCTTCGTACACGGCTTTTTCCGCGGACGTAACCGGGCTTTTGTCTACGCAAGTGCGCGACCTCTTTTTTTTTCCCCCCCCTCTGGCATGCAAAAATTCTAATCCCGCTCGGTGTGAACTCGCGTGACAACTCATCCGATTTTGTTGGAAATGTCACGAATCGAGATAAATGTCGGTCCGTACGTACACAACATGCGTTTCACCTCGTATTTACGACTTTTTACGACAAATATGTGATTGGTAGAGGATTAGCATCGCGATAATCACGCGATGATTAATCGTACGATATATAATTATAGAATATCTCGATATTCTCCACTGATTTCGTTACGCTCTGCAACGCGTACAGAATGCTATTACGCGTTATGCATTTTATCGAAACGGCGATTGCATTTTTCATTAACTTTGAAAACACACATTACCAGTCGCTTGCTAATGCAAATTTTTCGCGCTTCATAAATTCGCAATTCGATCGAAACAATATACAATATTTTCCTCCATTAATGTACAATCCAAATCGCATTCTCCACTCTCTTTTAAGTATTTTTTTATTAAATGATAAAGTAGTACAAGTATAATATGCAATATTACTAGATATGCACATGTCAATTATATTGCATATATTATATATATTATCATATATTGTCAATTATATTGCAATATTACTAGATATGCACATATCAATTATATTGCATATATCATGCAATATAATCAATTATATAATAGTCCGGATATTATTAATGTCATAAAATCGCGTCGATTAAGATGGGCAGGTCACGCGGCGCGTATGGATGAGAATCGAATTGCATATAAAGTACTAATTGGTAAACCGGATGGGAAAAGACCATTGGGTAGACCAAGACGTAGATGGGAAGATAATATTAGAATGGACCTTAACGAAATGGGGTACGAGGGTCACAAATGGAGGGATCTTGCTCAGGGACGGGAACAGTGGCGGGATTTGGTATTTGCGGCAGTGAGCTTTCGAGTTCCTGACGCCTAATAATAATAATAATAATAATAATGCACATGTCAAGATACGCGATACAAAAAAAATACGAGTTTACGTCAAAAAACTTCCTCATTTCTCATACATACGCTTTTTCCAGTATAACTTTTAATTTTTCTTGTATACTTTTATCTTAGTCACCTCGTCTTAATTACTTTAGAATCTCGTTAGCCTCTCTTTGACGTATTGTGAAATATAATACGCGAAACTCAAGTTTCGATAGAAATATGTGTTTTCCGCCGCTTATTCTACTGCCTCATCCAGAACTAGAGTCAAGATTTCAGCCATTAAATTATCGTACTTGATTAGCGGCGTCTCGTTAGGCAACCTTGCTAACAATTATGTCTAATGGGAAGAAGATATTACGCAGGTAACACGAAACATCTTACATTCTCTACAAGATGTTAATAATGATCTCACAAGCCTGAAAATAAACCAGAACGTGTGTAG